GAGAGAGAAAGAGAAAGAGAGAGAGAGAGAGAGAAAGAGAGAGAGAGAGAGGAAGAGAGGGAGACAGAGAGAGAGAGAGAGAAAGAGAGAGAGAGAGAGGAAGAGAGGGAGACAGAGAGAGAGAGAGAGAAAGAGAGAGAGAGAGAGGAAGAGAGGGAGACAGAGAGAGAGAGAGAGAAAGAGAGAGAGAGAGAGAGGAAAGAGAGAGAGAGAGAGAGAGAGAGAAGGAGAGAGAGAGAGAGAGAGAAAGAGAGAGAGAGAGAGGAAGAGAGGGAGACAGAGAGAGAGAGAGAGAAAGAGAGAGGAAGAGAGGGAGACAGAGAGAGAGAGAGAGAAGAGAGAGAGAGAGAGGAAGAGAGGGAGACAGAGAGAGAGAGAGAAGAAAGCGAGGCAGAGAGAAAGGGAAGAGAGCGAGATAGAGAGAAAAAGAGGGAAGAGACCGAGACAGAGAGAGAGAGAGGGATAGAGAGTGAAGAGAGAGAGGAAGAGAGGGAGACAGAGAGAGAGAGAGAGAAAGAGAGAGAGAGAGAGAGAAAGAGAGAGAGAGAGAGAGAAAGAGAGAGAGAGAGAGGAAGAGAGGGAGACAGAGAGAGAGAGAGAGAAAGAGAGAGAGAGAGAGAGAGGAAGAGAGAGAGACAGAGAGAGAGAGAGAGAGAACCTTTCCATTTTACTCTCCCTCTCTTCCCTCTGTCCCTTTAATCCGATCGACATCTATTCGACTTGCAATAAAATGTTGATGGATTCAACATCGACTGACAGATATGATGATAAAAAATTCTATGATATATTGTGGGGAACCATATATTTTTGTGCACGAATGAGTTTAATATTAATAAAAAGTGAATGATAGACTATAGGTGTGTGTGTGTGTGTGTGTGTGTGTGTGTGTGTGTGTCTGTGTCTGTGTGTGTGTGTTTGTTTTTTGCGCATATGTATGTATTAGGCTTCCTTTGTGTTTGCTGTTGTTGTTGTTTGTGTTTGTTATTGTTCTTGTTTGTGCTTGTGTTTGTTTCACTGTCTGTTAGATGTCATTGTTGTTTATGTGTATTTGTTTGTATCCATGTATGTACATGTGTATGTATCAGCCTCTGTGTGTGTGTGCATGTGTTGCTGCTGTTGTTATTGTTGTTGTTGTTGTTATTATTGCTGTTATTGTCTCTATCCGAGTATATTAGTCTGTCTGTGTGTGTTTCTATACATTTCTGAGCTCTCTCTCTTTATGATTTTATGTAAAATTAAATATATATTAATAGAATTTGCCATTTCATTAATTATGTCATCTATGTAATAAATTATTAGCGATTAATTATACATATAGTATCGATCATTAATCATGTATATCAGGCTATATCATAATATCCCCCACTCCTCCTACGTAAGCACCGCCCCCCCACCCCCTTACGTAAGCCACGCCCCCTACCCTCCTGTGGAAGCCCCGCCCCAACTCCTACCCAAGCCCCGCCCCCGACACCTTACCCAAGACCCGCTCCCCGACATCCTACTTATGCCCCGCCCCCAACACCTTACCCAAGCCCCGCTCCCCGACACCCTACATACGCCCCGCCCCCTGACACCCTACATATGCCCCGCCCCCAGCACCTTACCCAAGCCCCGCCCCCCAACACCATACCCAAGCCCCGCCCCCCGACACCTTACAAATGCCCCGCCCCTCAACACCATACCCAAGCCCCCGCCCCCCAACACCATACCCAAGCCCCGCCCCCAACACCATACCCAAGCCCCGCCCCCAACACCTTACCCAAGCCCCGCCCCTACGCAAGAACCGCCCACAGTCTCCCTACCGAAATTACGCCCCCTCCTCCCTTCCAGATAAATATCAACTCGTTATCATTGGTTTCATTTCGAAAAAAAAGCGACATCAACTCTAACCCCATCAATTCGTGCTCAAAATTCATTCATGGCAACTCATGACACCATTTCTCTACATCATTATAAATTCAGTCGTGATGGATTTATAGTGATTATAACTGTGCTCCATTCCGTTGGCAGGCAAGCTGTGTGTGTACACACACACACACATACACCCCCCCCCCATACACACACGCACATATATATATATATATATATATATATATATATATATATATATATATATATATATATATACATATATATATATATATATATATATATATATATATATATATATATATATATATATATATATATATATGTATATATATATATATATATATATATATATATATATATATATATATATATATATATATATATATATATACATGTATAAGTATAATATATATATATACATATATATATATATATATATATATATATATATATATATATATATATATATATATATACACACACAAACAATAAGGTTATGATAATAATAATAATATTGGCAATATGTATGATAATAATGATAATAATAGTAATAATGATGATGATGATGATGATGATAATAATAATAATAATAATAATAATAATAATAATAATAATAATAATAGTAATA